GCACCACCGTCCATACCTTCCGCACAGCCCTCAAGACCTGGCAATCCCGTCAGGCCGGGGGATAAGACCCTAACCTCGCCCCACCCGAATGCTGAATGAATGTTGTGTTTTACTGGTTTATTTTATTATACTTCACATTTTATTTTTGTGTTTTGTCTTGCACTCCCTTCCTACAAATTGTAAGCCGCCCTGAGTCCCCTCAGGGAAAAGGGCAGCCTATAAATGTCAAATAAAATGAAAAGAAAAAAAAAGGTCACCAAGATGGGACTCGGAAGCTAAGTGGGTCCCTTAGACTGTATATTCTGAACTGGAGCATAGCTATCTCCCTTGCCTTTTCAAAGGTGTATGCATCAAGTTTTCATTTGGAAAACATCCGTTTCAAAACAGGTTGTTCCAATCTCATTGGGTGCTCTGAGCTCAAAACAGCATTATTTTAATCTTGAAACCAGTATTGCAAGCTCATAATGAGACTCTTTCAAGCTCAAAACAGTTGTTTCAAACCTGAAAGCCTCAATACATTACGAATTCTCAATATTTTGCAGGCCATTACTTTTTATATCCGTTAATACAGAACAATTTTCTCAGGGCTTGAATTTTTGAACGATGTAAATATAACTTAGCTTTTCCCCTTCCCTCAACCCGCCCCCCTCCTTTAGGCATTTTTATTTTGCCTGCACAAAATAGACCTTTGCAGAAACCAAAGATGTATTTTTAATGGAGATCAGCAAGATAGGTTCTACGCTTACAGCCAATGCAAAAATGGCTTTAAATGTTGGTAGACAAATTCAAAAGGTTAGTCACACGACTTTAATGGTTTCTTGGGACTGTAACCTTCAAAATTCTCAGTTACAATCTTCAGGTTATTGTATGAAAGTGTCCTCAAATGCAATTTAAGTTACTCCACAGTAACATCTAAAAAAAAAAAAAGCCCTGAAAACTGGTCCTCTGAGGTTGAAAAAGAAATATTTTCATTAAGGAACAATTTTACCCCAAGAGTTCTATTAAGGAGCAACCTTGTCTTCCAAATGCTACATTTTACCCAATTGCCTTGAGTGCCATCAGGCAGTACAAAAGACATAAATTCATTTATTTTATGTTACCTGGTGATGCAATATTCTTTGTCTCCTGGAACGTTGAGATAGCGAGGTCTTTCTCCAGTGGCAATTAGGAATCTTTCGGCTGTGTAAATTTTCTCTACCCCTTTATTATTTGTTGTCTGTAAATAACAGAGCAGGTTTTTTGTCTGAACCCTGAGATAGGAAATCATTCTCCTTATAATGCAACAAACTCACTTTTCATTGAGCAGAGACCAGACATAGCTACTGACACAAATAAGGAATTTGCCCAAGGAACTTTGGAAATCAATCACTGTAGCTTAAAAATTATACTCAGGCATTCTGGCAGTAACAAAGAAGGAAATATTCCCCATCTACACTTTACCTCCCATGGCAGCAAATCTTGAAAGCTCTTTCATTGCCTTAGCCCTCTTGCAAGTTATCTTCCTTCTGTAGTCTTCCCCAGAACGATCAAACTAGCCATTCTTTTCCTGCAAACCTTCCAGATTTTGCCTGGCTGATACTATTCATCTAAATCCACAGTGAAAAATCTCTTCCCCCCCCCCTTTCCAAATTTATGGACATCAACCACATTGTTGTCAGCTGCATCCATTATTTCTTTTCCATAGAGACTGATTTGGCCCTCCAGCTGAAATTACATAAGGATACTGCTGGCAGATAATATTTGTACACATTATACCTCAAGGGCTGCCCAGGACTATTAAGGGACTGGGCAGCATACACATTTCCTTAATAACTAATGTTAAGACATGCAGGTGAATGAACCTACTTTGAAGATACGGATGATGTTATTAAGAGGAATGCCTAAATGGATAGAGACTAGATGGCATTTATGGCAAGATCTAGGACCTGGCTAGGCACCTCTTTTTCCATTATGCTGTAATTATAGGCTGAGGATGTGCTATTCTAGACCAGAAGGCAGTTTCTTAAGCAAGTAAACACTGTTCAATGGCTCAGGCGAGATAGATTATTTTTTACGAAGAAGGGAAGACTTCAGCTTTGGAGAACCTCTCTTGTTTTTATTAAAATTCAAATGATTTGTCAAGTACAGACAAACACAACATTATCCCCTTTGGACAAAATAATTCTGACCTAAAAATATTTTCAAGTACTCCAACTAAACCAAGCTCCCATTTCTTCCAGCCAAAAATTCAATTCCAGTTATATCCATGCCCTGCTTTTATTTTTACGGTGTATGGAGAATTCTTGTCTCATCTACAGTAAATCATAGAGAAATTGCTTTATAAGAAGATCCAGATGTCTCTGTTGTCCACCTTTGATATAGATATCGGTTACCATTAATATTTTTGCTATGTACTTTTTAAAATAGCTATACCAAATAGCAATAGGAATTGCAGTTAGTCTAATATACCACTACATAGTGCTTTACAGCAATCTGGATCCTCATTTTATTGACCTCAGAAGGATGGAAGGTTGAGTCAACTTTGAGCTGATGTGGATTGAATTCCTGGCAGTGGGCAGAGTCAGCCAGCAATACTGGATTCTAACCACTGCATCACCATGGCTCTAAATACCAGCAGCTCCATTGAATTTCATCACCTATACATTTTTTTCCTATATGCATATGCACTGTGTGTATATATTGACAAGTCGGCAATAAGATGCAGTAATTTGGCCTCAACCTTGCCGTCTGCCTACTTCCTAGGACTGAGAATAGCAATAGCAATAGCAGTTAGACTTATATACCGCTTCATAGGGCTTTTACAGCCTTCTCTAAGCGGTTTACAGAGTCAGCATATTGCCCCCACAGTTTGGGTCCTCATTTCACCCACCTCGGAAGGATGGAAGGCTGAGTCAACCTTGAGCCAGTGAGATTTGAACCGCCGAACTGCAGCTAACAGTCAGCTGAAGTGGCCTGCAGTACTGCACTCTAACCACTGCGCCATCTCGGCTCTAATCTGATTGATAGATAGATAGATAGATAGATAGATAGATAGATAGATAGATAGATAGATAGATAGAGAGGGAGAGATAGATATAGAGGGAGGGAGGGAGAGATAGATATAGATATATATAGGTAGGAGATAGATAGATAGATAGATAGATAGATAGATAGATAGATAGAGAGGGAGAGATAGATATATAGAGAGGGAGGGAGAGATAGATATAGATAGAATAGATAGATAGATAGATAGATAGATAGATAGATAGATAGATAGATAGATAGAGAGGGAGAGATAGATATAGAGAGATGGAGGGAGGGAGGGAT